TTCACCTTACATTAAATGTTGCGTACAAAATTCAATGTGATTCAAAATTCCGATCACTCGCACCATACAACATATCGACCACTAAAACTTCTACGTTGAAGTGAACACGGCTCGATCAAATTACTATCCATAACATCACGCCTTTTATCCTCGAAGGGGTAGGCAGGGATGCACATTACGGCATGCTTAATGCCACTGTACAACGTAACGCCGACTTTTAACTATTTATGTTTAAGTCCCATGTAATAGGGTGTGAGCCTATTGCCATATACCCGGCACAATTCCAAATTCCGTGCTACTATTGAACATTTTTTAAAAGCCCCAGTAATACTTTGCCCGTCCCGGGACCGACCGAATCGGACTCGAGACCCCTTGCCCGGCAGTCGCACTTGCGACCACTCGGCCAACGAGACAGCCACGATCGAATTAACGCTCTCTTTTTTCATTTGTACCAAAAATCTGTGGGTTGTAAAGGGGTTAGAACAAAGGGCTACTGTAGGTTAACGGCCGCGGAGAGCAACAATTACAAATGAAACCTTCCACGGTTATTTTATTGTGACTCCCTCTTAGGCCAGAACCCTTCCAGGAAACGTGCGAGCAATTTTTTGTAGGTGAATTTTTTTGCGTCCTAAGCTATTTGTGAATGACATGCTTTATCATAAGCCGGTAAACGAGCAGACGGATCACCTGATGGTAAGCAATCGGCGTCGCCTATGTACACCTGGAACACCAGAGGCGTTACAAGTGCGTTACCTTCCTTTTGGGGATTCCCAATGCCCAATGCCCAATAGGCCGGTAGCGCACTTGTAACGCCTTGGTGTTTCGAGTGTCCATGGGCGGCACCGATTGCTTACCATCAGGCGATCAGTCTATTCGTTGCTATAAAAAAAATCTATAACATGTATGAATCTGGGATCAGCCCAAAATCTTATGTTTGATAATATAAATTTTGTTTTTCTCAGTAGGCAGGCGTAATGCTAGGGTTTTGCACCTATGTTTTTGACAAACATCTTGTTTTGACGGATTAACCTAAGTAACCATCCTATACTTGCGTTGTTCTTATCGTATGAAAAAATTGGCTCAAGGCCCACGTAATGTGATTTTCTTGTTGCAAAATAGACTTCTACTTGTTTCAATCTATTAAAAAATTAAGAATTTAAAACGACTTTTAGTCCTTTGATACGTTTTTTATTTCTAAATTTAAATTCTTCGGGAAGGTACCCAAAAGGCTGCCAGCATTACCATGTGGTATGGCAATGCTTAACCTCTGGCCGAGAAACAGACCAGCCCTCTAATCACGGGATAGGTCGGTCAGCCGTTTCGATATATTCATAAATAAAACATAACATCACGCCTTTTATCCCCGAAGGGGTAGGCAGAGGTGCACATTATGTACACTGTACAATGTATCACCCACTTTTTCACTATTTATATTATAAGTCCCATGTAATAGGGGGTGAGCCTATTGTCATATACCGGGCACAATCCAGACTCCGTGCTACTACTGAGTATTTTTTTAAAAAACCCAGAAATACTTGCCCTACCCGGGAATCGAACCCGAGACCCCTTGACCGGCAATCGCACTTGCAACCACTCGGCCAACAAGGCAGTCATAAATAAAGTATTTTATAATTTTCCTATTGACGTCGATGCGAATACGAATTTTTTGATGCTCTCTATAAATAGTTTTAGTTTAATTTTATTTTATTTTCTCCATTACTTTTAGTTTATTTTTAGTTTTAAATGTTTATGTATATTCTTTATATATATCATGTAAATAAGTACTGAAAATGAAAATGAAATTATAATTATTCGGTGTCAATTCTACCACTTCTAATAAGACAATATAGACCGCCGCAAAATAGCTATTCTATATATACCTACCAAACTAATCACAAAGGATTCTAATAAACTTTCCGATGAATACTTAAAAGCCTTAAACTGAACCTGGCACTCAACTTATTTAAATACAAATTCCCAACTCAATACTAAGTAAAATATCCAAATTAAACCACGAATATCAAGCTAAATTAAAACAGTTCCAAGTCTTTAAATTAATATATTTCCGTCGATAAATCTTAAAGTTGAGCGTTTGTGGTTAAGTAACATCTTTTAAGTTATTTATTTTATGGTTTATTTTAGACGACATAAGGTTTTAAATACTATGTATTAAAAATTTAATAAAATCATCAGTTTTGTTGGAGCTGTGAATGTCAATTGGATTTTTTTAGTTTAAGATTTTTTTATGGTATAAGCCGGTAAACGAGCAGACGGATCACCTGATGGTAAGCAATCGGAGTCACCCATGAACACTTGGAACACCAGAAGCGTTACAAGTGCGTTTCCGGCTTTTTGGGGATTAGGAGTTTGAGGATCGTTGGGGATTCAGTGATTGGGAAGATTGGGGAAGGGGAGGGTAATTGGGCCTCCGGTAACCTCACTGACACAACGCAAGCGTTGCGTCACGTCGGTTTTCTGTGAGGCCGTGGTATCACTCTGGTCAAGTCGGCCCATTCGTAACGAAGATGGCTCTCCCACACTTAAAAGATTAAGACTTAAGATTGGAGACAAAAGCATAAAACACTTCGATCTTTAAGCACATTAATGATCTAATGCCATAGAAATTTTCCTGATAGGGTTGCGAAAAAATATATAGTAAGTTCGTAGCAAATACTTCAAAGTAATTTCATACCTAAAATTCAGGAAAACCTGTTTAAGAATTCTCCTCTTCTTGGAACAAGGCCCGGAAGAAAAGTTTTCTACAATATTTATTTTCAATTACATCTTATTTACTACGAAGGTCAGGGTTACATTTTCAACCACATTTCCGACGAGGGCGGTCACAAAAAAGGATAAAAAAAACAAGAAAAAAAAAGACACAAAAAAACAGAGCGACTACTTTTTCAAACTTTTAATTGCTCAAGCCAAAGACAGTAAAAAGTTACGCTGAGAAAAAAATACACTCGTTATTTTTACGGTCAACTCTATTCCTTCAAAAAGAATGATTGACGGTCCACGGTAGCTACTAACTAAGTTATTTTACGCGTTTTTTGTAATTAAGGTCCAGTTTGGTGAAAAAATATTGTTGAAATTTTTTGTGTATTTGTCCTTCATAAATGTTTTAGTTAGGTAAAAGCATATTTTTTCGCCGATTTTCTATTTAACCCTAAGGTTGACTGGGAGAGAATGCCATATGGCATTAATGTCCGCCTTATTTAGGTACCATTACTTGTTTCTGTGTACATTAAAGTTTAGATAAATAAATAATGACTGCTTCATTGGCCGAGTGGTCGCAAGTGCGACTGCCGAGCAAGGGGTCTCGGGTTATTATACGAGGTTTTGTTTTTTTTAATCTCAGTAGTAGCACGGAATTTGGAATTGAGCCCGGTATATGGCAATCCGCTCACCCCCTGTTCCATTAGACTTAACATATATATATAGTGAAAAGTGAGTACATGTACATACATACAATAATATAAACTGTTCTAACAATATTATTAACCACAACAAAAAAAACAACATTGAATAAGGTGGGTTGTACATACATACAGTACAATGTTCATAATATCCAAGAAATCCTTACAAGAAAAATGTTTTACGAAAATTTTAAGGGAAAGATAAGAACAGATAAGGTAATTAGTCTAATTGGGGATGTTTTGTTTCAGAGGTACACCTTTACCGTTAATCTTAAAGTAAAATACGAGAACAAAAGGTTTTGCTAACTTATCATGGCTTGTAAGCCTTTAACTTGATTTGAGGAGCCCTTTTTATATTTAGACGAGTGTAGTGGTTAAAGGGGTGGGGAGAATTTTAAGGTGGTAGCGTTTAGGTTTGAGTTTCATCGATTTTCAGTTACACATTTTTAACAAAAGATAGAAAGAAACTGCGTGTTTAATGGTAGAGCAAATAATATAATGAGTATCATACTACCAGCTTTTCTAAGAATCATAGAATGAATACAGGTTTGGGATCTATATCTGTACTTTTTTTTTTAGGGGGGAAAATCATCGAATGACTGCTCCCGCCTGGGTGAGGCGGAAGGGAGAGAGAAGTCAGTAAGAGTCTGACTGACTCTTACTGACTAAAAACCACCCCGTTCCTTCTCCTGCACGTCGAGCCGGAGCCCCGGTTACCCGTTAGGTTCTCCGCGACTCCGAATCGGCATCGGCCCTATTGGGCCCCATCTGTGGTGGACTGATGGCTCTTTGAGGCGCGCGCGGAACGTGACGCGCCGTACGCTCGGGTCTGTTTCTGGTCGGACGGGGAGCCACCCATGCTCGCCGTCCGCAGGCCCGCGCTTACGGTGGCCGGAGATCGTCCCGCGATCCCCGACGTCCGGTGTGTCCTTCGCGACGGCTGGGTTGCGAGGAGGGAGCGCTTTGCTGCATCTATATCTGTACTACACATAGCTGAGTGGGCAACACGTCGCCGCGCGCGACCACCACGGACGAGGCCCAATAGAACTGATACCGATACGAAGCCGCGTAGGACGTAAAAGTTTGCCGGGGCTCCAGTTTAAAGTCCAGTAGTGGGTATAGGGTGGTTTTTAGATAGTAAGAGTCTGACACTCCCTTCCGCTTCACCCAGGCGGGTGAAGGCATTCGATGATTTTCTCCCATTAAAAAAAAGACTTTCTTTCCATCATCTGACCATAACACAATCGGCGAAGCGTCATAGATTCATATTACATGCCCCACCCACACCCATGAAGTACTTCGCATCCAGCTTCCTTTTGCGTAGTGCTAAGGGGTGGATTTTTTTGCCAGAGTCTGTATTTTTTGAAGGATATAACCTAATTGTCTTCAAGGCCCGAGTGAATAGGTTGCTTCTGGAACGACGTGGTCCATCGTAGACCGCATCATCGCTTACCACCAGGCAAGATAGTGGCACCAGTAAACCTCCACCATATCAGTGTAATAAACTAGATCATAAGTTAAATTCTTATATGTTTTGTTTCAGATTATGAAGCCCTGCGGGGGGCTGAGCCTCGGTCAGGCGCTATGTGGAGTGCGAGCGTGTTCTTCCTTACACAGATTGTCGTGTGTCAATTTACTACAGGTAAGCATCAATTTGAAGCAAATAGCTGCCTATTTGCCCTTACTATATAGACTTACGAGAATCGAACCTTTGAAAGTTTAAATATTCTGTTATGTTACGTCTAAGTAGTATATGTAATATAATTGTGTAAGTTTATTGTTATGTCATATACATGTAAGTTTATATAGGGATTTATTTTATGTAAGTCTATACTATCCTTTTTTTATGCATTTCTGTTGAGTCTTAAATACGCTTGCTTCTTGCATCGACCATTGTTTTTGTCGCTGCATCACCCAAAGGTCTGGCTGGAGGAGAATGCCCTAGGCATTAAGCCCACCTTGTACATTAGAGTGTGCATGAAGACTTTTAAAATAAAAAATAAATAAATAAATATTCGTCACTAATGTTATGAGTTCCATTGATTTTCAAAAAGATGTTAATCATTGAAATGAGGTTATGAAGAGTAAGTTAGTAATGAACAGAAAATCCGTTTAGTGTCTATATGTATCTAGTCATAAAAAATACGACCCATTCGATTTCTACTATTCTTAAAATTAATTATAAATAACTGATAAATAGTACCTATATTCTCGGAAGCTGTATAAAAATAATAGAAATATAATAAAACTACCTTAACAATAATCATATTCACGAAATTTTTCACTACATTCATTATATAGCTACGTCACAGCTATATCTGTTACGTTTAAAATAACAAAGTAATAAGCACACTCCATTTAATGTAAAATGAAAACGAACTCCAAAAAAGTACTTTTTGTATTTTGCCTTCAGGACTTCAGTTCTACGAAGTCACGACTTCCACGTTCTATTAGTGTAATCTTTTATTAAAACAATGATGAAAATGTTAAGTCAAATATTTTTTTTAAATAAAATTATACATTTTTTTCGTTTAATTCAACCTGCTTGTTTAACTAATGAAAATAAACTGTGAAACTCTAGAATTAATCTAGTTTTTTTTTATTTATTTTTTAGGAACTTTTGAACACAGCTCACTAATCTAGTTACTGATATTAATATCGTACACAATACAATAATATCGTACACAACGGTGTATAAAGATTAGACTCTTTTTTGTTGCATACTGGTGATTTGAAGTATGTTGAATCTTATTAAGCACTGTAACAAAGTCCACGAGTACTTATTTGCATCTACAAATAAATCAGGCTAAGAAATATATCAGAGGATCTCACATCAGTCTACTAACATACTAATCACCACAATAAATCCCCAGAAAACCCAACAACACCTACAACAGAAGAATCACCGACGGTGACGACATTCTACGCGCTCAGCACCGGCATCGTACCAGCTCCTGTGATGTTAAGGCTTGGGAACTCCACCATAGACAGCACAAAAGCTTTCAAGGTCCCACAGCCTTCCCAGGATCCTTCTACAGAGAAGCCAATGAAGATAGACATGGTTCCACATGTGGTGCTCAAGAACACCTACTTTGACCATGATAGGAAATATGGGCCCAGTTTTGAAGATGCTCCTGATGGGAACATCACTAAAATTACGGTGCAGTTAGGAGAGGATGCACATTTGAATTGCAGAATTAGTTTGCTGCAAGATAAAACGGTGAGTTGGACTTGATTTTTCTTTGTAATCATTATTAAATTTTTAAACTGATTTTTTAATTTGTAGACTGATATCTAAATCTGATTTCGGCATACTTACATAGCTAATTGACGAGGAACTCGACTAGTTTCAAGTCATGCTAGAAGCTCATATTGTGGGAGAGCCATGCTTCGGCACGAATGGGCCGGCTCGACCTGAGCGATACCACGGCCTTAAAGAAAACCGACGTAAAATAACGCATGCGTTGTGTTTCGTACTGTGAGTGAGGTTACCGGAAGCCCAATTACCCCCTTCCCTAGTCTCCCCAATCCTCGAATCCCCCACAATCCTCAAAATCCTAATAGGTGTCCATGGGCGACGCCGATTACTTACAATCAGGTGATCCGTCTGCCCGATTACCGGTTTATCTCATAAAAAAATAAGTATTGAATTTCATTGTTAGTTCTATTGTAAATGGCAATTTGGTAGATTTATTCTGTTTAATAAAGCTTTACTATACCATACCGTGTAATTTTCTTCTCAAATAGAAAAATGAATGCAAGTCTGACAATTTCATTAAAGTTTCCATTGTGAGGCATATATTATACCTATTGTAAGTTCTATCTTGTATTGTCTTTGTACCAATGTAACCATTTATAATATGTTATTCTATCAAATATAGGCCAGTATTATTCGGGCATCCACTGGTTTCATTTCATATAAACACCGCACCTTACATGGCGATCCTGCCAGGATGGTCAACACGCGCGCCGCGAATTTGAGACGTTCGAGTGTACTGTGTACCCACCTAAGTACCGCGAATTATTAGTAACAATGGAGTTAGTGCAGATTTATTGTAATTACGAACTTGACGTGAGAGTACGTATAATCTACGACCATGGGAAAACAACAATCTAAGGAAGAGACCTTCGTTATCCAAAACGCTGCAGGCAGTAACGAGGCGAAAACTGACGAAATTCGTTTTCATATGTCTATAACAAACATTTTCCTGGCGATTATCCTGTTGGTTATACTACTTGGACTGATATACTTCGTGTACCGGCTGTATAGAAGATGCCATGTACGATGGATAACAAATGAGATCAATCGGATCACTATGATGAGGAGATCTTTTCTTCGTCGTCGTTTGCAGTCGGGGGTCAACGAGAACACGGCTAAAACATTTTCAGAAGATATGGTGTGAAACATAAAAGTGTGTAAAAAAAAGTGCCATAAGTGAAAAAAAAAAAAAAAAAAAAGTGCTTAAAAAGTATTGGTGCGGAAAAGTATAAATCGGTTTTAATCGTTCAATAATCATATGCAAATATTATATCAATCGAGTTGCGTAATATCTTAGTTTTAAAACAATGCAGTGCCTTACCAAATACGGACTGAACGTGAATTGAACTTTGGACTATGGTATTAATTGCGTTTGTTTGCATTCGTACTTAATTATAAAACTTAATACTAATGTTATAATATGAATAGTTAACATGAATAGTTAAGTTAGTATAGTTAGAAATAGTTGTGGTGTTAAGTACCTAATGGATATAATTTTGACATTATATAATGATTTAAAGAAAATAAGAATAAATTTAATAAAGTTAGGACCGAAACGAAGGACAGAGAGAGTATTGGAAAAGAAGGTAATTGAAGTTGATGCTATTTATCAACAGTATGAGACTTGGTTAATTGATTTTAATGATAAAGTTAAGAATAAATATTATAGTAGCCAAGATATTTTATTAATACAGAATCATTGTCGTGAATTTTTAGCTTTATATGAGGATAGTTTATTGTTGTGTCAGAGTGATAAATCAGATTATTTTTCGAAGATGAGTTCATTTGATTTAAAAATTGCCTTGAGCCTTTTACCTGTTATGACAAATGAGGAGTCTAATACGAAGCAATTGATTGATAATATAGTCTATTATAATTCTATTTTAAAAGAAAATTCTTGTAAACAAAACTTAATAAACTTCGTGCTGAAAAGTAGACTTTCTCAAGAAGCTAAGATAAAGTTAAAAGCGAAATATGATACTGTAGACGAGTTAATAAATGATATGAGAAGTGTGTTATTATGTAAGAAAGCTGCAACGGCAATACAAAATAAGTTGCAAAAAATTAAACAAAATGAAAGTTCAATTGCGGATTACGGGAAGGACATTACAGAATTATTTGTAGATCTGACGATTGCGCAAGCCGATGGCAATGATCAATGCTATAATATATTAAAACCAATAAACGAACAAATGGCAATTAAGCAGTTTGCCAGTGGGTTGCGGAATCGTAGATTAAGTACGATTATATCTGCTAGAAATTACAGCTCGCTTAAAGATGCTGTCCAGGCTGCACAAGACGAGGAAGTCACCATAGGTGCACCTTCTGGAGAAGTTATGGGTATGTACAAACAGCCTTATAATAATTTTTATAACAGGAACCATTCAAATAATTATAGAGGTAGAGGCCAGCGTGGAGGTCGCAGTAACTTTTATTCGTACAGAGGACGAGGCCGAGGAGCGCAGCATGGAGCCCACTTTGATTCTCGAGGACAGTGGACTCGAGGAGGAACTACCGGTCGCAAACAATATAGAGGTAAATTTTATAATTCAAACAGAGGAAATCAAGGGATGCGTAAAGAACGCAACGTTAATTTAATGCAAAATTCGGAAACAGCGGGAGAATCAGAAGTAACATCTAATCAGTTTTTTCGTGAATAACGGTGAAAAAGTTATTTTATCTAGTGATAGTAATTGTTACATTTATTTGCATTCGCCATCATATCGTAATAAGAAACATTATTTTTTAGTAGACTCTGGAGCATCGTTGTCAGCATGTACGTATAAACATGCTCTAGAATGTAACATTCCTATCCATAAAGAGACTGTAACAATAAACGGTTTAGGTGGCAAAGTACAAGCAATCGGATACCTATATTTATCATTCTTCTTGAATGATGAAACAATTAGTCAGAAGTTTTATGTTTTTAATAGCTTGCCCATTAAGGGAAGTGGAATATTAGGCCGTGATTTCTTAAGCAAGTTTAAAGCTCAATTAGATTTTCATAAAAATATTTTAACATTACATAATAACATTTCAACTTTTTCTTTGCCTTTGATAAATAAACATAGTGTTACTTTTGACATTCCTGCTAGAAGTGAGTCAATACATTTTGTACATACGAACATCGATGAAGATTGTGTAGTGTCATCAAAAGAATTGAGAGATGGAGTGTTTTTAGCAAGCTCTATAGGTAGTCCTCAAAACGGATTAATACCTATTCGGATATTAAATGTAACTGAAAATGACTTAACACTTACAGAAATAGAGCCTACTATTGAGAAACTTAGTAAGTTTAATGTTTGCGTATTCGATAAAACACAAAAAAACGCTGATAGAGTAAAAAAGTTATTTTCATTAATGAAATTGAAACATTTAAATGATGAGGAACAGAAAACTATTGAAAACATTTGCGCAAAGTATTCAGATATATTCTACCTTCCAGGAGATCAGTTAACTACAACAGATATATATACTCATACTATTTCTGTAAAGCCTAACACAAATCCAGTATTTTCAAAACAATATCGTTTGCCATATTCTCAAAAAGATGAAGTTAAACGCCAAATTAATAAAATGTTAGAAGAAGGTATAATTGAGCCTAGCAAAAGCGATTGGTCAAGTCCGATACTATTAGTACCCAAAAAGTCAGATACAACGGAAGATAAAAAATGGCGATTAGTGGTTGACTATCGGAAGCTGAACAATTGTATAGAGGACGATAAGTTTCCATTACCAGATATCACCGAAATTTTAGAATCATTGACGGGTAGTATTTATTTTACGCATTTAGATTTACATCAGGGTTATTACAATGTAAAGTTAGATGAAAATAGCAGAAAATTCACAGCTTTTTATTCAGGACAATACCAGATGACGCGTATGCCGATGGGACTGAAAACTAGTCCAAGTTCTTTTTCAAGAATGATAACGATGGCAATGGCTGGTCTAAATAATGAAAAGTGTTTAATATACTTGGACGATTTGATTGTGTTTGGCCGAAATTTGACAGTTCATAACAAGAATTTGCAAGATATATTTGAACGGTTAAGGGCTGTTAACTTAAAACTAAATCCAGCAAAATGTGATTTTCTAAGGAAAGAAATTCTGTATTTAGGACATGTTATTTCAAGTGAGGGCATAATGCCTGATCCTGCAAAAATAAGTACTGTGCAAAATTATCCGCGCCCCACAAATACAGACGAAGTAAAACGATTTGTAGCTTTTACTAACTATTATCGAAAGTTTTTACCAAAATTCGCTGAAATTGCACATCCTTTAAATAAATTGACTAGAAAAGGCGTACCATTTGAATGGAATACCAAATGTGAACAATCTTTTGAAACGTTGAAACAACGTTTAGCAAGCCCACCTATATTACAGTACCCGGACTTTTCAGATCAAAATCGTTTCATTGTTCAAACCGATGCGTCAAACAATGCCATAGGAGCAATTTTATCTAATAGGAACGGATTACCAATAGCTTACGCTAGTAGAAGTTTAAACAAAGGCGAAAAGAACTATCCAGTAATTGAAAAGGAACTTCTTGCGATAGTTTGGGCTGTTAAGTATTTTCGCCCATACTTGTATGGTCGACCTTTTAAAATACTTACAGACCACAAACCACTGGTTTACTTGTTTAACATGAAAGATCCTTCTAGTAGACTTATGAAATTCAGAATGACGTTAGAAGAATACAACTTCGAAGTACAGTATGTTAAAGGTTCTGACAATGCAGCTGCAGATGCACTGTCTAGAATCACTTCAAAGGATTTGAAAGAGATGCATGAAAGTGTGTTGAATGTAATGACGAGAGCACAAGCAAGAAAATTATATAATACTAATTCTGCGGTAGATATGGATACTTCAGACTTGAGGCCTGATCAACCGAAAGTCGTAAGCACCCACATCAAACCGAAAGAATCAGTTGAACTAAGATTTATTGATATTAAAGGATTAGA